TTTTTAGTTTGCATGCTTCTTTTACTTTCTTCTTTTGTTATCTTGATTTAGGTGGGCCAATATCTTTTATTATGATTTTATTTATTTTCTAAGCAAGGTGTAGAAATTACGTTAGAGAAACTAAAATTGAGTGGAATGAATATTTTTTTATAAAACTAATTTTTATTTATGTACTTGCTGTTTAACTTTTTATTAATACTGTTTACTACTATTTTGGGTGTTGTGGTTTTCTGAATGTTAGGTGAGAATTATTAGATTGGGGCGTTCTTTCGAAGATTTGAATATATCTATGTTGTGTTCCTTTCGGATTTATTTTGAGAAAAAGCAATCTTTTTAAGGATAATATAATATGTAATAGGTACGTATCAGTAGTAAACTCAAATTAGTGTATAGTTTTGAGAATTATACAAATGTTACCTATATTTTATGTAGGTAATTTGTGGACAAATTAGATATGAAAAGTTAGTAGTTGGATAATTTCTAGGAATAATATTTCTGATGAAATACTTTTTGGTAGGCAATTAATAATATTTTTTATTTGCATATCAATGTAGAACTTGAAAATATAATTAATTTGATATATTAAAGAGTAATCAATTTTTTTGTAAAATTTGTTTAGCTAGCTAAAAGCCTAAAACTTGGTTTAAAGATTAATTGAGGCTATAAAATTATAGAATAATGTTATGTTGACACATATATTTTGTTAATATAATGAATGACATAAATGATGTGTGTGGGTAATATTTGCTAATTTTAACTTGATGTGTAAAATCGCATGATTTTGACACATATGTATTATGTCAAAATTTATGTCCACACTTATGTCAATGTAGCATAACCCATAATTGTATAGCATGTAATATTTAAAGTGACTTTTTTTTTTTTCTCTTAATTAATTGCAAGATGGATGAAGCTCAATTGATCAATAAAATTATGAAATCATTAGTAATCTTATTAATTTTTTTACGATTCACGCAAGCTTCTATTTGTTCCGTCCATTAGTCAGATTCATATTAACAAAAAGAAACAAAAAAACAAATTTGATGTTTAAACTGTTCTTTTCATTATAATAATTTGAAATATATATGATAACTGACAATCACCATCATATTAACAATTATTTAAAACATTCATTGTTCAAACCAACACTAATTCACCTCCACCGGCTGTTTGGGTCAAAACTTTCATCCATATTATAAACAACTTTATGTTTATAAATATCATGTTATTTATAATGAAATTAATTAGAAAGGGGAATGAATGGCATACACGAAATAATCTTTATATTATACTATAAAATACATAAACTACAAAGACATTGTTGCCTAAATCACATAATTTTTCATTAGCGAGGCATTTATATTAGATCACATGTTGAACAAAACCTAGTGGTTAAGTTGCTGATCCAACTCAACTGAATGTTCATAAATTCGACATAAGATTGTAAGAACAACAACAAATTGTTATTATTGATAATTAACTATACGCAATTATCACCTCTCCAACTCCATTAAAGGAAGGCAATAGATGAAGCAATGAACAGCCAATAATAATAATAATAATAATAATAATAATAATAATAATATTATTATTATTATTATTATTATTATTATTATTTGGACAAGCACGATCCATTTAGTAGCAAAATATAAATGCATAATAATAATAATAATAATAATAATAATAATAATAATAATAATAATAATAATACAAGCACGATCCATTTAGTAGCAAAATATAAATGCTAATTTAATGGGGTTGGCAAAAAATATTTGGACAATGCTACATGTACAATTGTAGTTTATAACATTGGTTGACAATTTAATTAAAAGTATCATAAACTCAAATCTCAATCATACATTTATTTGCATCTCAACCATCCACATCCTACCACATCATGTTGTCATTGAATGTTGTACAAAAAAGTTGTACAATAAGTTTTTTTCTAATTATTTTTATAAAATAATTGTACATTAACGACATCCATTTTCTTGAATTTGAACAATATATAATTTTAGTTCAAGTGTTAAAATAAAATAAATACTTATTTTTTGGTGGTGCATGATATCATGAGTACTTAGTAAAAATGAATCCATCCTTAACAAAAATGCTTTTGATAATAAGTCAATAGCAGTATAATGGAACTTACAATTTGCAACTTTTGACTAATTATATTTGTATGAGAGTAGTTGATTTTTATTTTTTTTTAGAATTTAATTTATTATAAAGTTCAAAAAATATCATTGAGGACAACAAAGTTCACGACAATAGGGGCCAAATTAGGACTCTCGAAGCTTTAGTACTACTTTTGACTTGTTTGTGTACTATTTATTTGAAACATCAGATAACATGATCTCTTAATTTATTCTTAAATTTTTATACAAATGCAATATTGAGTTCCAATGGTTTACTACTCATATCAATGATAACGTGGGTCTGCTTAAAGCAGCTCTATATAAGTTTAGGGCAATGATAACAAAGAAAATAATATGTTTTACAGTGTAAATATCATGAATATTATATGTTGCCTACTAATTTTATAATTTATAAATTACTACATGCTACATTAATTTATAAATTACTACATGCTACAGCACCCACTAGTAGATTTGAATTTGTCCCATTCATATATGTGGATATTTGATTGATTTGACTATTTTAGATTAATTAGCAACAAATAGTTCTATAATAGAGGTCAAATGGAAGGACATTTGTATTAAAAAATCATTGTAAGGTGAAAAGCACTTTTGTATATAAATGTAGATTTATTTGAGTCGTGTCAATTTCTAGTATTTTGTAATTTTATATTATGGTGTTCTGTAATTTTATATGTCAATTTTTTGGTATTTCGAAATTAGTCATCGTAGGTTTGGAGTTCTTTCCATACTTATTAGAACTTTTAAAAATGTATAAAATACTTAATTAAATAAAATTATAAATATATTTTGAATAATTAATAGCTTTTGTATTTTACTATTTTTATCAATTTTACATTTTTACGAATGATGGGATTTATAAAATGTAATAGACTCATTATCTGACTTATGATTTTATATGTTATATTTATATATTGTATATATAACATAAAAAATTTTATTTATATTTGTGTAAGTAAATACAAGTGAAGGCCAAACCAAACTAATGATGGGAACACATGTAATAATTAATGGCATAATCAATTATATCATGACACAAATTGACATTCCCCACTCAAGTAGGAGATTTCCCCTCTTTCAAAAGCCAAGCCTTTTTTTTTTTTTNCGCTTTTGATAGTTGAGACCTCTTTACAGACGATCACAACTCAAATATTTGACAAATTCAATGTCAAACTTATCATAGCTCAAAACTCAGATTTACATGTTCATTTGGACCTTTGAAATTTGTAGATTATGAACATTTGTTACAAGTGAATAATTAGGTCTCGGGGTTATTTCAGATCAAATTTCAACATGTAAACTCAACTTGAAAGTTCAAAAAATTTTACTAACTCACACCAACATTTATATTTCATTTTATTCTCGACTCGAACTCTTCCAATACAAACATTAGTATTTGTCATCTGCCAAGGTTCATATGAAGCGCCAGTCAATTAAAAATCTACATATATACAAAGGAAAATATTAAATTTGTATTCTTTATGTCTGTCAAACCTACATTTTGCTTTTCGAGTTATCTTAAACTTTCTTCTTTTAACATCCTACTTCAAACCTTCTATTCAACAAAATTACAAATCAATAAACGAATCAACAAAATTACAAATCAATTAAGAATGCCATGTACAGGGACTTTAAACAACTGGAATAACATAGTTCCTGATTTGATTAACAATTTAAGATAATCAATAAACGAAAATCGTCGCAAATAAAATACGAATCTTGTTTTCGACAAAATTACAAGAAACTTTAAGGTTTGAATATTTTTTTTTCCACTCATCAAAAAATCATCTAATACCATATTTAATGGTTGTACCTGAAATGCTTCTACGGTTACACACAATGGAAATCTAGTGTAATCTGATTCCCTCTTCCTCAACTCTTTGTAAAACTGAAATCTAGTGAAATCTAGTGTACCTGAAGGCTCATGTGTTGGCAGTTATTAAAGGGTTTCAAAATTTGAAATAACTACATGCATGTAACTTCTATCTTTTTAATTTTTTTTATTTTTTTTTTTAAGTCGGGAAGTTATAACATATAACTAAATGGAGATCATTCCAAGTTTTTTTGGAATTTCTGGTCAACCACATTTTTAATGGAATTTATTTACAAATATGTTGTAATTATGTATTTTTCCACAATATGTGGACATTATTATTGTAAACAGGTTGTTAATAAATATTAGAACAATTTCTTACATTTATCTAATATTATTTAGCGCCATCATTCAACCCACCTCGTAGCTTCGCCCCCGATTATCACAAGGTTTACAAGGGCCCACTTTCATGCTTAGTTAATGTTAATCCTCAACATAAATCTCCAAAGCACAATGCTTGTCGACATGGACACATCACACATGGTAGGGTCTAACCTTGACAGTTTATAAGAATCTAATTTACCTATCAAATAAATTAATTTTGCTCTAACCTTGAAATCGAAACGTAAGAAAAGTTTCTTTGCACTTTAAAAATATAGTGCTTCCATTCAATATTATCTTAAACTTGCCGGCTACAGATCGATACATACCAATGTTGCTTTCAACTTGGTAGTTTCGTATAGCAATGACCATACCCTCTTCAAGATTCCTCTCTCTAAACGCCGGAAAATAGACTGCCCGTAGCCACACCGTAATACGATTTCCCTTGACAAATAATTTGAAACAACAAATTGAAAAATAATTAATATGGTATGTAAATACTAAATTTGAACATATGCTTATTTTTTTAATGAAAAAATAATTCGAAACCATATCGCTTACAGTTTTATCATGCAAAATAAGCTCGAGATGCGACTTGTATGTGTTGCCCTTATCTTGAAAAAACTTCCTCAGAATTCGAACTTTAAGCATAGGTCTCTTGTTCCTATCAACATCTTTGATTAACCCAAATGATTGATCCATTGTAAAGAATGTGATTTTTTTCTTTTAAGATATGAGTTTGTAATACGGTAAATGCATGTTGATCGTAAGATATATATATATATATATATATATATATATATATATGTATTGTTGTTAAAAGAGAGTTTAAAATCGGTAAAAAAATCTTGTAGAAATTTGTCCAATGTAGACTTTTGTAAATAAAGAAATAATCAATCTATTTACGTACACATTATCTCGAGTTTGAAACAAAATCTCGAGTTTAAATCCATTTAAATTTGATTTTTAGAATAAAATGTTGTGGAAAGAGATGAATTGTAGTTGATTTGAAATTCCTATTCCATATATTGTGGAAAGAGATGAATTGTTATTGATTTTAAATTCCTACTCCATCGTATTTTGGTATTTTGATATGGATTTGTATTTTGGTTGAATAACTCAATTCCTTTATTTTAGGATATCTGATTTCAATGGGTATTTCAAATTAGATTCCAAATTTGTAGGTGGAATCCAATTTCAATTCGATACTGAGTCGGTGGAATCGGTTTTATGTAAAAAAAACAAAGTCCGAAATTAGTTGTATTATGAAATGGGATTGTGTTATGGAGGAATCCCATATCAAATTCACTTATTTTAGGATGTATCTGATTTCAATTTCTATTTAAAAAAAATCCAAATTTGTAGGCTTATGTGATTGTATGTCAAGAAAGAAAAGAAAAAAAAAATCGCATTTTGATATGAGATTGTATTAGGGAGGAATAAACCAATTCTTTTATTTTAGGTGATTTCAATTTATTTGTATTTCAATTACATATCAAATTTGTAGGCTTGATTTGATTAAAAAAAAATAAAAAAAAATCAAATTTTTATATGGGACTGTATTATGGAGATTTTTTTTATTTTAGGCTATTACAATTTATATTTCAATTAGCAATGCATGTTGTGCGTAAGAAATATATATTGTTCTTAAATCAATTCCTTTATTTTAGGCTATTACAATTTGTATTTCAATTGATTTACTATTTCCTTTATTTTAGGAGATTTCCAAAATTCCGATTGATTTTAGGAGATTCGCCATTTCAATTGATTTGCATGCTATTCGGTTGTTTTATTTTCAGTCATTCTTTCCGAAAATTAGGGAGGTTTTTTCTCTTCATTTGCGGATTTTTAAAAGTGATTTTTTGAAATGCTTTAAATGTATTGAGATAAGTATTGTAACAAATTACCATAACAACTTCCTATTAAGAATGATTTAAACTAAAAAGAAAATCAATAGAAAGAAAAATACTTTTTGGATTTTTGACATAGTTTCCACAAATGGGAAGTCAAAGCATTTGTTGACCAATTTTTTAAAAGTTTCCACAAATGATTTATTGACCTCTCTTTTTCAATATATATAGATTATGAAACAGTATTTGGTGAATATGAAAGCAAATAATAGCATGAGAAAATAACAACTCATTTTTAATATAATACTTTAAAGTTTAAACACCACTCCAAACATGCAACTACACAAACACGCATCATTTAGTTACCAAAACACTTTGAAACATTTTCACCTAGCTAGGTAAAGGTTATAACTTATAACATTCAAATATCATCGTAGAAGCACTTCTTGAAAGCACCCATATGCTCATCCTGCAGCCATATGGCCACGTTCAACGAACCATCTCCTTCCCTTCCCGGTATAATAAACGTCTTCCCGTCGAACCCCATCTGCCCCGGGCCCACATGGACCTCGCTCCCCCACCCGAAGTCCGTCCCGTATAGCGGCAAACCCATCCAACTTATGATCGCTAGGTTCAGGTTCCCGTAAAAGTCCCCCTTGGGCCGCCCGTTGTTGTCGAGTGACCTAAACCGCCCCACGTCCGACAAACCCTTCAAAAAATCGAGGTATCCCCTCACTGACCCGTCAGTCACCCCCTCCACAGCCTCCCGTATTTTCCAGCACGCGTTCCCGATCGGGCTCGCCAGGAGGCTCCCGGACGTGTCCATGGCCTCCGCGCATATCAACGCGTTCCCGAAATAGTTCTTCGGTAGGGGAGGTTTCATCTTGTTCCGGAAGTCGGCCATGAAGTGGAGGCTCGTCTGCTGCTCCGGCACGTGGGCCCGCGCCTTGCTCGTGCACTGCCAGACGTGCGCGGCGACAGCCTCGAACCGACTGTAACCCCGTCTCGACCCGAACTTTATCTTCTCGGGATAATCTACGTCGGCCTTGCTGCGGATCTTCTCGATCTGCAGCTGGGTCAGCCGGAGGAAGGCCATGCAGGTGGGCTTCCTCTTCTGCTCCATGTTGTCCTCCTGCCCAATCAGGGTCGGAGGGGGTCGAACTTTTCTCGACTAACGCCGCCACCATCGACCACCCTCCGGTCAAGGAATGGGGAGACGGTGGGGTCTGCGCCTCCACGAGCGAGATTAGCCCACTCGCCGACGAAGTGGAGGGCGCTGGGCCCGTCGGCCATGACGTGGGAGATTTCGAGCCCGAGGGCGAGACCGCCACAGGCGAGCCGAGTCATTTGGGCCATGACGAGCGGGATCTCGTCGAGTGGGGCCGTGTAGTCGACGGTTGGTATAAGAGCTTGGATCTCGGGGCCCGGAGTGAAGTCCCCGAAGTCCTCGATCCTGGAGGCCGACTCGGCCTCCAGAATGGGAACGCCGGCTGCGTTGCACCGGAGCTCAACACGGTTGCCGCCCTCGGCATCCCAGGTCAGCCGGCCGGCGAGCGGGTAGAAGGAGACGAGGACTTTGCTAAGGGAGTCCTTTAGTGCGAGGATCGGGTTTTCAGAGACGAGGTTTGGGGAGTGCTTGTAGAAGTAGATGGTCGGGGTGTGGGTGATATCTTTGATTTGATCGCACGAGTTCAAGTACATGGTCTCGTTTGGGGTGGGGCTGGCCGGCCGGACGATGTGGGTGGCTTTTATAGCTACCATCTTCATCACAATGAATGTAACTTATCAATGTGTGTGTGTGGAGAAGAAATTAGAAGTTGATTTAGGCTGTGTTTGGTAAGCCAAATAAGTTAGCTTATAGCTTATTTGGTTAGCTTATAAGCTTCTTGTATTTAAATAAGCCTCGTTTGGTAAGGCGAGCTTTTTTAAAAAGCTCGAGCTTATTTGATAAGCTTCTTTAGGTAGCTTTTCAAATAAGCTAGTTGAATTTTTTATTCCAGCTAGCTTATCAGCTAATTTTACCAAACGCTTTTATCATATAAGCTAACTTTTCAGCTATAAGTCATAAGCTATATAGCTAAAAAATTACTGATAAACTATAAACTAACTTATCAGCTATCAGCTAACTTAATAGCTAATTTTACCAAACATAGCCTTAGAGGTACACGTGTTTGTTGTTCAACAGTTCAAGTTCAAATGAAGCTATTTATAGGAGGGAAATGTTCAAATGTAGCATTTTTCTTAAAATTATCCCATTTGTGCGGCAGTGCTATATTCAAACAAGGTTGACTTTCTTAAAAAAAAAAAATAAATAAATAAATAAAAAAAATCCGCCAACTCCCCACAAATACGAACTTGACTAATTTGCCAACGCGCATGATTAGTTGTTACACATTATTAATTAAGTATTTAAGTGCAACGAGGCTGTCACAATTTTGCTATCTATATATATAATAAGACGGTTTTGCTATGGAGCCATCGGATGGCTCGGCTTATGGAGCCATCCATAGTTATCCACAAATGATGTATTGACACGTGTCCTGTAATAAATGCACATTGGACACGTGTCAATACCTAACGTTATGGATGGCTCCATAAAGGAACCATCTGATGGCTCCATAGCATTTCTGTATAATAAGAACTATTTTTTAAAAATGGCAAGTCAAATTTTGGTCAAACATTAATTACATACTATTTATAGAAAGTTTTTTTCTATTTTTTTTTTCTTTTACTTCAAAACAGCCAACATTAAATGGTGGCCTAAAAATGTGGCGTTTGTTAAGAGAGATCACTGTCTACATAAAAAAACTAATTAACCATACAAGATTATATTAACATTCCGATGCTAATTATGGCGTGGCATAGTGTAGATAAATAAATTTTATTATCACTCCAATACACAATATTTTATGAAAAAAGTTGAATTGAAAATATATATATTTTTATTTTTTTTGGTAGTTACTTTGAGATTTGAATTGCACTTCTATTAAATTATGTATATTTTACTTGTAGTTACATCACATCCATTTCATATGATTTAATATTAATAGCATTGAAGATTTTTTTATTTTTTTTTAAACAAAGTTCATTTTTCTTGTGTGATATTGGACTTTCAAAAAATACATTAAAGATTTGGAATGAGAGGTGCAACAAGAGTTGAAGATTATTTCGATCATATGAATTTTATGTTTACGTTATTAAAATATATATATATATATATATATAATTTATATTTATTTGAAATAGAAACTAAAATCTCGCTTAAAAAATATAAAATTATTAAACTTGGTAATATTTTAAAAAAAAATTAAAAAATTAGATTGATTTGTTATAAAATCAAGGTGATATGATTCTCAAATTTTAGCATATTCCCTTAATAACTTGCGATACAATATTGATGATAATTCGACAAATTGGTATGTATTACTCTTGAAAATCAAAAAGATCATTGAACAAGTATTGGTTAATAAAATTTAAAATTTGTAATTTAATTCTAGATAATTATTTTATAAATTTGAAAGATAAGGTAAACGACAACAAATCTAAAATATTGCTAGATATATATGTGTGTGTGTGTGTGTGAAATCTATAAGATTTTTTTTTTTGTGTAGTCCAAATTTAGATTCTAAATTTAAAAGTCAAATAAGTTAAAATTAACTTGGATGTAAATGACATAGTCAATTATTTATAGTTTAATAAATTACTCAACTACTTAAATTTTTTGATTTGGATTGTTTATACAAAAATAAATTTATTTTAATAAGTGGAACAACTTAAGTTTTATAATTGTACTTACTATCACATCAATTTTTAAATATAAGATAAAATTTTACCAAAATAATTATTTTATTGAATAACATTGTAGTCAAATCAAATTTATGAATACACATTTTAAAATGACACTTATTTTTGAAATAAATAGAATGTAATTTATTATTAACTACATGCACCGTAGGGGTTTGTACTAATTTTAAATCAACATGCTTATATAATGTTGCACAATTTTACACGAGGAACAAGAATAAGTAAAATTGTTATTTTTCTTACATCAAGGAATAAATATAAATACAAAAAACAAATTTATTTATTAGTTTATGGCTAGCGCTAACAGACTCAGTTTTACGTTCCGACAAAAAAGTGACGCTAATGAAAATAAGTGGAAAATAGATGATTCAACTCTATTGTTTTTTAGGGTTCAATGGACAAGCTCTGTGGACTCTATGAAAATTAATTATTTAATATCTCTGTCCCGTGCATCGCACGGGCTACTAGTAGGATACCCGTGTATTACACGGGTGTTTAATTATTTAATATCTCTTGGTCGTCCATGTGAATCTGTGATATATATATATTTTTTTTTATAAATATAAGCCACTAGTAGGATACCCGTGTATTACACGGGTGTTGAATTAGAAATCTTTTATAAAAAATATTAAATTTTTTATTTTTTTTAAAAGCTAAAAAATTTAATTTTATATAAAATATTACTTTGGGTTTTAATTAAATTATCAAATTATATTTTTTTAATCATAATAATTAAACACTCATACATTAAATGAAAATGTCAACCCGTATTAATTTTTTTTTTACTTATATCATATAAAAATATCAATATTATTTACTACCACATAAGTACAAAATATATATTTTAAATAAATAGAAATAATATGGTGATATGTATATGCTAAGTGTAGAATACGTTTATTTAATATTAAGCAAAATAGATTATCTTTTTTACTTAATCAAATAAAAATGTCAACCCGTGTTGAATTTTTTTGCTTATATCATATAAATATATCGATATTATTTACTATTACATAAGTTCAAAAATATATATCTTAAATAAATAGAAATAATATGGTGATATGTATATGCATAAGTGTAGAATATGTTTATTTAATATTAAAAAAAATGATTAATTTTGTACTTAATAGATGAAAAAATATGAACAAAATATCTAAAATACATTTATTTTATCAATGAACTATTAAGCCAAAGTGAGAAATAATAAAAATATGAGGGAGTATATATTATTATATATTTTAGTATGACACATGTTACTTGTGCGACTTATATGTGTTATATTATAATAAATTTTCTACCTTATAACATATAATTACATTAAACATAAATATATTAATTGATAATAATTTCAATTTCTAATTAATTTTAATAAATATTTTTTTATTATTATAAATATAAATATAATTTATTTATTTTATATATATACAATATAGATGTCAAATCGAAACTCATCAAAAGATGATTAATTTGATATATTATATATGTAAAACCGATAAGAAATACAAAAGTTATCAACTTTTAAAATATATTATTAATTCAATGGTTATAATAAGAAACGATATTAAAATACAATCGATATAAATATTAATTTATATCCAAGACTAACTCCAAAGTATGATTTTTTGTCAAATAGGATTCCGAAGCATAAGAGTTTGCTACGTAAGCTCAACGCATTCTGAAATTATATATAAAATAAAAAAAAGAAAAGGGGATGATTGTATGGAAATACTCAAATAAGTTTGTTCTGCATTTTATTTGGTGTATTGAATGTTATGTTTATTTCATTGCTCAGTAGGTGTCAGGTCAATTACATCAAGTCGGGATTCGGTTCGGGCGTGTCTAGGACATCATCTTGCGATCTTAGAGCGTAGCCTATTGCTTCTAAGGATTCAATCATAATTTTATCCATTTTCATTTTATAATGAGGTTATTGCATGGGTGATAATGTCTGAGACACAATTTGAAAATGTGATTATAAAGACATAAATAATACAATAAGCAAGGCACAACATGAGAAAATTTTAGTTAAATGATATTATGGATATGAGATGGATAAGAAATATGATATTTGTCCAAAACTTACCACTAAAAATCTTTAGTAAAGATGCCCTAAATGAAAGATTAAGGGTGAAAAAAATTATTGGTAATAAAAAGTTAAAGATTAATATTTTTCATATAATAATTAGTTATGATATGATAGATGAATAGTAATGTAATGTAAAATAATGATTAATAATTATAAAAGTTAAGTGGGTAATAAAGGTTAAGGGTGAAAAAAATATTGGTAATAAAAGTTAGTGCAAAGACTAGTATTTTTCATATAAATTGATGTGATATAAATAGTAAATTTTATAATTCATTATGTATGATAGATTAATAGTAAAATAATGTAAATTAACAATAAATAATTATAAAAAGTTGAGTGTGTGAATATTATGTTTTATATATAAATATATAGTGATATTTAATTTTAACTTAAAAATTATATTGAAAGATGTGAGTCAAAAAATAGAGACAAATAAAATGAATGAATAATGTATTGTTTGCAATATAAACTAATACTCCCTCCGTTTCTTATTAAATGTCGTTTTAATTTAAAACTTCTAAATTACGATTTTAATGGGTTGTGTAATAATCTTATTTTTTAATCTTATTAAATTTAGTTTTTGATTTATTAATGGGTGGTTTTTAAAGATAATGATAAGAGATAATGTTTGTTAAAGAGAATAAAGATGTAAGAATGAATATCATATTTCCAACAATTAATTTGCAAAAAAATTGACACCCTACAACGACATTTAAACGAAACAGAGGGAGTATAATAATAAAAATAATAAGTAATAGTGATATAAATAAAAAAAAAATGAAATAATTTATATTTTCAAATCGCTACCTCTTCCGGCTCACGGCCCAAAAAAAAAAATCAATTCCAAACATTTCCAAAAGTTCAATCCCCATCGTTGAAATCGAGCTGCTTCTTCATCTTCTTCCTCCCTTTCTGATTTTTCGCGCTCTTCTCCTCACAGTAGAAAAGGGGAGTCAAAATGGGCAGCAGCTCTTCCATGCTCACTCAGTACGACATAGAAGAGGTCCAAGAGCACTGCAGCAACACCTGTACGCAACCCTACATTCTCCGATTTCTTCGTAATCGATGTTCTTTTTCTTAATTTTTAAGGTTCTGTGTATTTTGGGGTGTGTGATTGTAGTTTCGCAGCAGGAGATCGTGTCACTGTACCAGAGGTTTTGCCAGCTGGATCGGAATGGCTGCGGATTTATCTCCGCCGACGAGATCATGACCGTGCCGGAATTCGCTGTCAATCCCCTTTCTCAGGTTTGTCCTAAAACTTCTGTGTTCTCTCTGTGAATGTGAGTGCCGATCCATATGAAGACTGGTGACATGTTTTTGGGCTCGATTTGATTGTGAAATAATGCAGCCTTCTGTATGCAGGCGTTTTATTAGAATGTGAATCTGGCATTTTGTGTTCTATACCTTTTTATGTCTGTGCACCAAATGTTATTTGAGGGACATCTGGTTCAAAATTGATATTGATGGAGAGATTGGGTGGGGATTTGGGTTATGGTCACTTATGGGCATGAATTACACACTACTCCAGTTATTCAATCTGTTCGTAATTACAGTTTGTTATGCTGTGAGCGAAATTGGTTATGCTTTTCGTTCGAGCAGAAGCGATTTAAAGCTGCCGTTGCAAATCTTGTTGGCTGTTAAATGCCTTCATGCCATGCGTAATGGGGAGTTTGATGAGAACGAGAATTTAACTATTTATATCAGTATTTCACTGGACCTGCATGCACAGTTATATTTAATAGGAGCTAGAAAATGCATACCAGGGAAGGGAGAGTGTGTTGTTTTTTTCTTTCAGTAAATTTTGAGGTATTTTGTGTATTTTTCCTTTTCCATTTTCTCTTTCTTTGTTTCTGTGGAGTGGGGGTGAGATGCGCCACTCAGTCCTCTCCCATGAAGCTATAACCATTTCCGTACAGGATGTCATATGAAGAATTTATGTTAAAGTACGGTAACTGAAATGTAAAAAACAGCAGTCTGCCTGTTATCTTGTTAACCTGACCATGATGCTCTCTATACTTAATGAATGCTAGCTATAATCTCTTTTGTTTCTCCAGAGACTGTTTAGGATGCTGGATGGACTAAATTTCAAGGAATTTGTAGCATTTCTATCTGCTTTCAGCTCTCGAGCAACGTTGCAGCAGAAAATTGAATGTATGACTAAGAAGGCTATACTTTACAGTACTATGTGTCTGCCTGGAGTTCCCAGTTTATTTTCTTTTTTCTTGCCAATGTTGAATACAAATTCCTCTTCTCAGTTATTTTTAAGGTTTACGATTCTGATGGTAATGGAAAAGTTACTTTCAATGAAATGCTGGACATATTGCGGGACCTGACAGGTCAATTCATATCTGAACAACAAAGAGAGGTTAGTTCTCATGGAACTTTCATTTTTCATTTGTTATTAGAATGTTGGAACCTGCACAAGCCTTTGAGATTACCAGTATATATTTATCACCTATAACTTGTATGTACATCTGAAACTTTTTTAACATGTTTTCTTTTAACTGTAGCGCAAGTGGTAAAACCATCATGAAATTTTGTGATGGTCTTCCTTTTTGTGAAGTGTAATTTTTCATGTTAGTGGCTTATCCAGAGTTATTTGATGTTGATTATTACTAGTTCACGTTTTACTGGTTATGACTTTTCTTAAATAGAAAGTTCTCACTCAAGTTCTTGAGGAAGCAGGCTATGGAAAGGATTCTCTATTAGTTCAAAGTGACTTCATGAAGGTAGTTTCATTTCGGCCCCTTTAATCTACTGACAGTCACTTTTTCTTACCTTGATGGAATTTTGAATCATATTCGTTGCCTTCGCTTTCTTTTGTTGTTGCTTTTGGACTTCTTACTTACTCTTGAATATGACCTTATGTGGACCTTGTAACATGTGGAAGTTAATTAGGGCGTGCTTGATACAAATATATCTGCTAAAAACGGATTTTTTTGTTAACAAGGGTTAATTTGAAAAAGGAGCGGTTAGTTGTTAGTGAGATTTTGAGTTCATACAACAACAACAACATAGCCTTTAGTTCCAAGCAAGTCGGGGTAGGCTAGAGATGAAACCCAAGAGAAACACAAAAAGACTCGAACCAAAAGGAAGAGATCGAAAAAAAAAAAACGAGAGAGAGAGAGAGAGAAAGGAGCAAAAGTCACGGTTCTGGCACGTTGATAGCGAGCCTCCAAGCGCTCCTATCCACTGCTAAATCCTTGGAGATATTCCAATCTTTAAGGTCTCTCTTAACCGACTCTTCCCAAGTGAGTTTAGTCCGACCTCATATGAAAATAATATTTAAAAATAATAATTAAAGTTGATTTGATGTTGAAGTAGGAGAAAAATGATTTGAGGTGATTGTTAGTTAATATTATGTGAGTTGATGAATAGAGAATTAAAGTTGATGTGTTGTGTAAGAATGATTGGTTGGTATTATTTAATTATATTGATAATATAAAGGATAGTGGGGTTGAGTTAAAGTTGAGTTAGATTGAGTATGGATTAAAAGTTTTTGTAAACAAATGCCCCCTTATATTTTCACTTTTCATGCGCACTAGTCATCTGTAAAAGTTAATATACACGTAGTACATGAGCACCTGACATTTTTGGCAAAATCTTATGAATGGGCTGATATCTGCACTCCAAATTTTCCAGGCAGTCCATTTACTTTGCACATTTTTTGCAAATGCTTTGCTTGTAGATGTCATCCCCAAAGAAAAAAGACAAATCGGAATAACAATTGAGAAAAAGTAAAAGATTGATGCAGTGCATAAGCCTCCCTTCCTTCTAATTGTATATATTCCTCTCCTAGTTGAGTTAGAAAAACTCCCAGTGAAGAAGTGCATGATTGTCATTAAAGTACAATAATCAGCCTCCCTGCTTTATGACTGTATATTTTTTTCTCCTAGTTAGAGTTATCAGCTTTTGATATTTTGTTATCAGTCTTCACATGTTTAACCATTGTGTTAGTCTTGCTAGTTTTGGTTTCATAAAGTAGATTCGAATGTGATTTTCTCTTCATCTAAAAAATATAACAAATCTTTCTCTCATCTTACTTGCAGATTCTTGGCAGTTCGGGTTTGAAGATGGAAGTTGAAATTCCAGTAGACTAGAGGAAAATATGAAATCAAGTAGGCTGACATGATTTTGTTTCACTTTATTGTAGCTTGTTTGTTACTCCTTATGCGTCTCGTAGATGGCTAGTTTTGTTCCCGACATGTATTTTTCATTCAATTTTTTTATATCACATCAATTTTACTCGTATATTTTTGCCTCATATCGATTCACTATCTCACGTTTTCTAAATATTTTTTCCATTTTTATCTCACAAGATCTTATATCAAATCGAAGTAGTATCCATATTCTACATCTATGTACTTTCACTCTACATTTTATATATCCCATACTTCATATATTTAAACCTACATAAAACATAATCTGTAACATATATAATATAAACACACATAATTCACAGACATAAAAAAATCATACAAAATATAATTCATATAATCTAATCATACACTTGATGGTTCTGATTCATATACTGTAAACATACATAAAACTTATTCAACTTATTCTTTCATAAACCTTCATTCTTTCATAAACTTGATTCGTTCTCTCATTCATATAAGTGTGTTTAGTTGAAATTCATATACTCTAGGGTGTGTTTGGTTGAAATGTTAAATTGAACATGATTAACTCCCATTTGGTGGACATGTTAGATAGAATATGACTAATTCCCAAAATTTATCATGTTCATTATTTTGTTTGGTTGTATTTTAAGTACATGCCATCATACCTTTGTTTGGTTGTATTTTAAGTACATGCCATCATACCTTTGTTGTTCCACCGCGGCCTAGAAAATATCTTAGTTTTTATTTATTTTTACAACCTACAAAATAAAACTAACTCAACTTATAATAAATCCACACACATAAGTTCAAACTGAAAAATTATCACCGAACCCGCCTAAGAGCGACTAGGAACGACTAAGTACCACTCAACCGCCTGACCGGTGTTTTCAACCTATTCATACAAATGGGAGGCGATTGGGTGACGCCTAGCGTTTAGGCTGCCGCTTAAGCCGATTGTTAGAACAATGGTTTTATATAACATATAAAATTATAGGTATTTTAACAATAGTATAGATAATTTTAAATATTTTTTCTTAAAAGCATATAAAAATTGTAAGGTTTTTAACAAAAAAGAAAAAAAAAAGAAAAAAAGTATATAGAATTTGAAGTATTTAGAGAAAATCCATAGAACTCAAACATTCCTCCTATTATTTTAAATTAATGTATGTTCCTCACTTTTCACGATGACGAGTAGATTTATTTTAAATTTAAATTAATATAATTTAAATACGTATTCAATATTTATTTTATAATAATAATTTTAATATTATCTAAAAATATAAAAATGGAGTGAGTATTAATTTTTGTTTTGTTTTGTTTTGTTTTGTGCATTGATCAGCATATTTCTGTATTCAATTTAGTCAACTCCCAATAAATGGCCGATTCAATTTTTCTTGACAAATAGACCTAAGATTTTTTTTTCTCACATAAAAATAAAATATTTTCATTCAAAACGTATCCTGTTGGCTGTTACACCTTTATTGGAGGTCATCTTCTTTATTCAACTTAACCTTTCCCATAAACATTTTCTCTAGTACCTTCAAAACCGCAGTTAATCTCGTCCAGAAAACAATTAGCGGCCACCATTAGCTAATCCAGATACCAAAATCTCTGCCCAAATAAACATATGTATATATTTTTTTTGAATATTTACTGAAAGGGGAAAACCTGGTACAGAGCAAGGCGATGCTTGATTTTGGCAGAATTGAATTAGTATCCTGAAATTTTAAAAAAAAAATCTTTAATTTTTCAAAAAGGGCCTAACTCTTTCTGCCAAATTCTGTTGCACGCCTGTGGTTAATCATTAATCAGATTAAGCCCAGGTTTTAAAAGAAAAAGGGAAAAGAAAATAATTTGCAATTCAAGTATTTTTTTTTTTTTTCAAAATTTTCAACCCTAAGAACCTGGAGAAAATCTGATCTTGGACTTTTTTTCATAACTCCATTATTCATAAATCATCCATCTTTTACAGGGCTCATTTTCTTGATATATATATATATATTTTTTTATGGGTTTTTGTGTGCCTTGTACAATTTAAATATCAGATTTTTCATCTTATGTCTACCCATAAAAACTGTGTCTTGTTAGCTGTTTGGTACACTTCAGTTCAGATTCTTTCTGTGAAGAAATAAGGTACGATTAATTATTCCCTTTCCTTATTCATATTCAGATCCTTCTTTATTGTAACAAAATTCATATATTGTCTTCACTCTTCACATAATTCCACCATGTAATTGTTGCTTGTTTCTCAATACATACTTGCCCTATTCTCGTCTTTGGAAGACAGAACACGCTAGTCGACAAAAATGTTGCTAATTGTGCCTCATCAATTGTATCTAATGAATTGTGCTAATTGTGTTAGTTATTTATCAGCTGCATTCCCAAATTGGTTGGGTCGGGTCGGGTCGGAATGGCCACCAGCAACCCGCCCGTTTCCCCATTCGAAATGTCCTTCCTCAAAGAAACCCTATGCGCCCAACAGAACCTCCTCCAGAAGCTCTACTCCGAACTCGACGCCGAGCGCGAAGCCTCGGCCACCGCCGCCAGCGAGGCACTCAACGTAATTCTCCGCCTACAAGGCGAAAAGGCCGCCGTCAAAATGGAAGCCGAGCAATACAAACGTCTCGCCGAGGAGAAAATGTGCCACGCCGAAGAATCCTTCGCCATAATCGAGGACATCATCTATCAGAAGGAGTTGGAATTAGCCGCGCTCGATTATCAGGTACAATCCTACCGGTACAAGCTCATCAGCCTCGGCTGCCCGGACCCCGCCTCGTCATCAGTCGACCTCAAATTCCCCCAAAATCTCTTGCAGAGGAGCGACAGCCTGTCGGGGAAGAAGAATTGCCCCAGCCTCGGGAGGCGAAACTCTGCCCCAATACTGCCCAAGTTGAAAAAGCCCGCGAGCCCGGAGCCCGATATTCCAGCCTCGTACGGAGAAGAGATTCGGATGCTGGATATCCGTGTGAGGGAGATAACGGGCCCGAATTACCCGGGCCTGAGCCCGAAGAGCGAAATCCCGAGCTCACCGAATGTGCACGATGTTTTCGAGGTGCCGCAGGTCGAAAAACCGAGCGAGAAGGTGATGGGGAAAAACGAGCCCGATTGGCTGAAGAAGCTGTTCCTGCAGTCGAGTGGTGATGAGAAGGGGTTGTGCAAGCCGAGCCATATTGCGGCTATTGACCGGGCCATTGTTGGGCCTATTGTTGGGCCTGTGGCGAGTACGAGTGAGTCCAGGCCCGGTTTGAGTATGGTGAGAGAGGTGGAGAGGGAGGAAGGAATACCGGATTCGAGAGAGGAGGAATTGAAACTGTTGAAAGAGATCAAAGAGGAGATAAATTTGTTGAGGGATGAGATTAGGAGTCTGAAAGAGAAGAATGTTTCGGATGAGTCGTCGAGTTATAATCTACCCGAGGTTCGTATCGTAATAACTTCTTTATTGTTGATGAATTAATAATACCCGCCGTGCAAATGCCTTGTTCTGATGAATTTTCTTTATTTATTTATTTATTTGTTGAATTGATGTATGATTAGGCAATGCTTCATTTCTGGCTTTGACGAAGAAGTATAGTTTGGGAGATCTGAAGATATTATCATGAGGCGAAAACAACGTGTTCTTCGTTAGGGAAACATAGAAATGTGTCCATTCTGACCCGTCAAACGCCTGGTTTGTTTGTGTATAGCGATTTTTTGCAATTTGTACATTTGTCGAGATGGATGCAGTTTTCTTTTGTCAGATTCTGTTATTTTTTTTCTTGACCTTTGAAATGATCAGAGAATGACACTTGGCTGGTGCGTGATATGTACATTGTGTGAAAAGGTTAGCTGAATGAGGAGATTCGGCTTCAGCACTAAAGAATCTCCGAATGTTGTAAGAAAACGAATTCTATTAAAGATATTTTCATTTTCCTTTGTAGTTTTGTTGCGGATTTACGACTGCATTCTCTTATGGTACATTTTACACGTTTGAGTGAGTTCTATATCTGCACAGGTTAACATTAATTGCTTCGAGTGACTGAATTTACATGCATTTTAACATTACTTGCTTCAAATGACTGAATTTACATGCATTTGTTCCCATTCTGGAAAAGGACTTCAGTTGGCTGTTTACGGGTGATTATTTCGAGTAAAGTCCATAGCTGTAGAACAGTAGAAGTCTCCCTGTGTAGATGTATTTGTTCCCATTTCATACTCTGCCATCCAAAAAACAAAAACAAAAGGCATAAGTTACATAGACAGCACTCTTTCCTTCGAGAAATTGAGGATTTTTTCTTCGAGAAGAGAAGAGAGAGGGACTGAGGGAGGGAGTGAAACAATAATCTTTTTATTTAATTGTTATCATGTTTAGAAGATTTTGTCTTTTTAATTGAGTGGAAAATCTGGTCAGTTATGGGATTAAATGTGTGAGATGAGTTATTGCTAGAGGCATATAGATTACTTATAACTAGTAATCGACCTGTGCATTTACACAGAGACGAATACTTTAAAAAGATAAAATATAAAAAAAGAACAAAAATAAATCATAATTTAATTCATGAAAAAAAATATGAATTAAGAAAATAATTCTCAAAATTGATTTTGATCAAGTAATTGCTATGAAAGAGCCGTTACAACCATTTTCTTTATGCTAGGTGTAACTTAAAATTTGAGTACAATTTTGTAACTCCCTTGATGGTTTATCTCATAATTTATGTCATTCAAACAAGTTATTTTGTAACTTAAAAATGAAATTGAATGCTGAAAATTTTTGGAGGGAGAATAAAATTTAATGCATGATAATAAAATTAAATGCTTTGTTGCTCCTCTTTATATATACTAGTAATCAACTTGTGCATTTGCACAGAGACGAATACTTTAAAAGATAAAAATATAAAAAAAAAAAAAATCATAATTTAATTCATGAAAAAAAAATATGAATTAAGAAAATAATTCTCAAAATTGATTTTGATCAAGTAATTACTATGGAAGAGCTGTTACAACCATTTTCTTTATGCTAATACACTCGGCCATTTACATGAGTGGGTGTTACTTAAAATTTGAGTACAATTTTGTAACTCCTTTGATTGGTTTATGTTCATAATTTATGGCATTCAAGAAAGTGATTTTGTAACTTAAAAATAAAATTGAATGCTGAAAATTTTGGAGGGAGAATAAAATTTAATGCATGAGAATAAAATTAAATGCTTTGTTGCTACTCTTTATATATACTAGTAATCAACCTGTGCATTTGCACAGAGAAGAATACTTTAAAAAGATAACAATATAAAAAAAATAAAAATAAATTATAATTTAATTCATGGAAAAAAAAATTAAGAAAATAATTCTCAAAATTGATTTTGATCAAGTAATTGCTATAGAAGAGCCGTTACAATCATTTTCTTTATGTTAATACACCCGGCCATTTTCATGAGTGGGTGTGACTTAAAGTTTGAGTACAATTTTGTAACTCCCTTAATTGGTTTATGTTCATAATTTATGTCATTCAAGCAAGTTATTTTGTAACTTAAAAATGAAATTGAATGTTGAAAATTTTGGAAGGAGAATAAAATTTAATGCATGATAATATAATTTAGTACTTTATTGCTCCTCTTTATATATATAGATATAGATATAGATATAGATTTTAATTAATTGGCTTAGTATCAGTTTATATTCTAATAAAATTCCAACATCATACGATATATAATTCACAAATCTATATATATTGAAAAAGAGAGGTCAATAAATCATTTGTGGAAACTTTTAAAAAATTGGTCAACAACTCCATTGACTTTCCATTTGTAGAAACTAATTTAAAAATCCTTTCAAAATATATGTTTTTTTTTTTTCCTGTTTTTTAGGGATGGATATACCTTTAACGTGATGAGATATATACATGTGATTGCATATTTTGTTGTTGCATCCCAAAAATCATGGTATTTAAAATCTATCCAAATACAATCCATAATTATCTTATCACTTTTGTTAATAAAAAATTGTATAAAAGGATATTCACTACCACCATTACAACTCATCATTCACGAGTTCAGAGAAAAAAAAAATACAAAGAATAATTTTTCGCATATACAATATAATGCTTCCAGGCTGGGGTAAACTTGATATATAATGCTTCCAGACTGGGTACGTTAACAAAAGAAACAAACCTTTTTTGCGTCTGAGAGCAGTCCGCATTATTGAAACCCATCACGAACGGGAGAGCTATAACGCATTTTGATGATGAACAGGTAATATTTACCTTTTTTATTTCAATTTTATATAATTTAGAAAATTATTTTAATTAATATTTATAACAAACCTTTTTTGCGTCTGAGAGCAGTCCGCATTATTGAAACCCATCACGAACGGGAGAGAGCAGTCCGCATTATTGAAACCATCACGAACAGGAGAGCTGTAACGCATTTTCATGATGAACAGGTAATATTTACCTTTGTTATTTCAATTTTATATAATTTAGAAAATTATTTTAATTAATATTTATAACAAAGCATTATTGAAACCATCACGAACAGGAGAGTTGTAACGCATTTTCATGATGAACAGGTAATATTTACCTTTGTTATTTCAATTTTATATAATTTAGAAAATTATTTTAATTTATATTTATAACAAACCTTTTTTGCGTCTGAGAGCAGTCCGCATTATTGAAACTCATCACGAGCAGGCTGGGTACACTTGATATATAATGCTTCCAGACTGGGGTACGTTAACAAAAGAAACAAACTTTGTTTTCGTCTGAGAGCAGTCCGCATTATTGAAACCCACGGGAGAGGCATTTTCATGATGAACAGGTAATATTTACCTTTGTTATTTCAATTTTATATAATTTAGAAAATTATTTTAATTAATATTTATAACAAACCTTTTGAACAGGTAATATTTACCTTTGTTATTTCAATTTTATACAATTTAGAAAATTATTTTAGTTAATATTTATAACAAACCTTTTTTGCGTCTGATAGCAGTCCGCATTATTGAAACCCATCACGAACGGGAGAGCAGTCGGCATTATTGAAACCCATCACGAACGGGGGAACTGTAACGCATTTTCATGATGAACCGGTAATATTTACCTTTGTTATTTCAATTTTATATAATTTAGAAAATTATTTTAATTAATATTTATAACAAACCTTTTTTTGCTTCGGAGAGCAGTCCGCATTATTGAAACCCATCACGAGCAGTCCGCATTATTCAAACCCATCACGAATGGGAGAGCTGTAACGCATTTTCATGATGAACAAGTAATATTTACCTTTGTTATTTCAATTTTATATAATTTAGAAAATTATTTTAATTAATATTTATAACAAACCTTTTTTGTGTCTGAGAGCAGTCCGCATTATTGAAACCCATCACGAACGGGAGAGCTGTAACGCATTTTCACGATGAACAGGTAATATTTACCTTTGTTATTTCAATTTTATATAATTTAGAAAATTATTTTAATTAATATTTATAAATTTGTATCGTAGGTGCTTTCATTAAATGCATAATACATTATCCGAATATGAGAGCAACAAACTTTATATAAACTGAGAGCAGTCTAATTTTTGTAAAATATGTAAACTTTAAACGTATTTTATATATAAAATTTTATATACTTTTAAACATGTTAGTTGGGCAAATTTTAAGGATATATATATATGTGTGTGCTAACTTTAAGTATATATATTTTTCTTATAAAATAGTCTAGACAAAATTGAGGTAATTTCACATTTTTCAATAATAATATAAAATATTTTAATACTTTCACATATGTTATATAATAGTCTGCGTATTCTTAATGTCTTTTGGTTGTAACACTGTTAACACATATAATATTAGATACTTTTAAACATATTTAGATATTTTTTTTACTCATTCTTTAATATCTATGTGCATGAAAAGAGAATAAGATTTATAAAAAATTTTCCGGCAATATACTAAATGTTAGATAAAAATCTCATTTTATTTGTTATATAATATTTCGAGTTGCATTAATTTTGATTTGTATGTGTAAAATTGATAAATTAAGCGTATGAAAAGGAACGTACGAATTACTATAAAGATTAAAAAAATAAAAAATAAATTTAATTTTTGAATATTTTCTAAACGAATTTATGTCATAATTCGTCATAATTTTCCCACATCATGTCAATATTTATTTTATCTATACTAGGTAAAAGGTAAATCATTATCTCAATATTTATTCTATATATTCTAAGTAAATCTTCTCATCTATCTCAACGGTCCGCAGGTAGTATTTCATACTTTTTCTATTCATAATCAAATATACCAAACCTTCACAAATTTTACTTCACAAAGAAAGTGTTCAATAATTTATATTTTTTTTCCTTCTTTGCAATCCATTTATTTTTATTACATATATATAAATTATATTATTTTTAATATTTCACACGTTAAACATTTCAGGAAAATATACCATCCCGTGCATCGCACGGGTACTGTACTAGTAAATATCAAAACTTATTGTTCGTGTAGTTAGTCTATAGTTAGCCCATTAAGTGCCCATTTTAGTGGACCGGCCCATATCAACCCGGAAACCGTGACCCAAATAGAAACGGTCCAGAATCCAACGTCAGAAATAACGAGTTGTCTCCAGAATATTTCCTCAACCGGAAGACTGAAGAATCCTCTGGAAATTAGGCCGTGCGTCCACTCCACCATATAAATCTCCTACGCCGGAGCCAAATCCTCACCAGAAATCCGATCAAGCCTTCACAAGCAAAAATCAAACTCTCAATAATCTACCAAAACAAATCTGTTAGTAATCCGCACAGATACCGAAAAATGTCTCTGATTCCGAGTTTCTTTAGCGGTCGCCGTAGCAACGTGTTCGACCCGTTTTCACTGGATCTTTGGGATCCACTCGAAGGCTTCCCTTTCTCTGGCGCCGTCTCGAACTCTCCGTCCTCTGCCAGAGAAGTCTCGGCGGTGGCCAACGCGCGGATCGACTGGAAGGAGACGCCGGAGGCTCACGTGTTCAAGGTGGATGTGCCCGGATTGAAGAAAGAGGAGGTCAAGGTCGAGGTGGAGGATGGTTGTGTGCTGCAGATTAGTGGGGAGAGGAGCAAGGAGCAGGTGGAGAAGAACGACAGGTGGCACCGTGTGGAGAGGAGTTCCGGCAAGTTCCTCCGCCGTTTCCGTCTGCCGGAGAATGCCAAGCTTGATCAGGTGAAGGCGGCTATGGAGAACGGCGTGCTGACTGTGACGGTGCCGAAAGAGGAGGTGAAGAAGCCTGAGGTCAAGGCCATCGACATCTCTGGTTAGAAAATGATTATGTAAGAAATTGATTACGAGGTTTGATTGTGATATATATGAATAAATGTTGGGTTCTTCTTGTCTTGATTGCATATTATGTGAGTTAGTTGTTGGGAAAAATACGCTGAATTTTCTATGAAGTCGGATCTATAAAAGTGAAATAAAAATAAAAATTGGACACACCAAATTGATAACGGAGTTCGGCCAATAATGCCTACGTCTCCGGACTACTGCAGATATTTTATTGAGAAAAAGAAAATACACTCGTGTTTACAAAACACTCTCAAAACTCACTCACAACTCACAACACAAATACACACAGAAGCTAAATTTTTGCTTCTTATTCACTCTATTTCTCTCTCTTTCTTTCTTTGTGTTGGTTCTTTTTGTTGTGTTTTCCTCTTAACATTTGTTCCTCTATTTATAGAGAAAAAATTGCATCAAATTTTCCACAAATGCGTACTCATTTTTCAACAAAATGAAGCTTCCTTCTTTTTTATTCATTTGCTGCTTGTCAAATGAAATGGGCGCCGCCTTCCCATTTTGACTCAACAATCTCCCACTTGAGGACTGATTTCAATCTGTCCTCACACCTAAATTACTGCAGTAGTCTTCTCGGTCTGTTATTCTAGCAAGCCAACTGAAGTTGAGCACAACTTCAGTTTGTCAATGGTCACCACCTTCGTTAGCATATCTGCTGGGTTCTTGCTTCCTACAATTTTATTCAAAGTCAACACTTCATCCTCGAGAAGAGATCTGATGAAATGATATCGTATGTCAATGTGCTTAGTTCTGGAGTGAAACACTGAGTTCTTTGCCAGATGTATTGCACTCTGACTGTCACTGTGCAAGACACTCTCTTTTTGAGCGAAACCCAACTCTGCTAACAATCCTTGAAGCCATATCAATTCTTTACTGGCTTCTGTCACTGCTACATACTCAGCCTCTGTAGTGGATAGAGCAACAATCTTTTGTATCCGCGACATCCAACTAACAGCTGTAGTTCCGACAGTGAAAACATAACCGGTGGTGCTTCTTCGGTGATCAACTTCACCTCCAAAGTCTGCATCTACATAGCCCTGTAACTTTAGATCTCCTTTTCTAAAGTACAGACATTTTTCTGTTGTGCCCCGTAGATATCTCAAAATCCATTTGACTGCTTCCCAATGAGCTTTTCCTGGTTTTGACATAAACCTGCTCACAACTCCCACTGCATGGCCAATGTCTGGCCTCGTACAGACCATCGCGTACATCAAACTTCCAATGGCTGAAGCATAAGGAATCTTAGCCATGAACTCTTCTTCTTCTTTTGTTTGAGGAGACTGGTCCTTGGATAGACGAAAATGACTGGCCAAAGGTGTACTGACTGGTTTGGCCTTGTCCATGTTAAATCTTTGCAAAACACGGTTGATATACTCCGCCTGAGATAACTGCAAAACTCCTTTTTGCTTATCTCTCGTGATTTGCATTCCAAGAATCTTCTTTGCTGGGCCTAAGTCCTTCATGTCAAATTCTTTTGACAACTGCATCTTCAATTTTCTGATGTTTTTCATATCTGATCCTGCTACCAACATGTCATCAACATAAAGTAGCAAGATGATATAGCTGGACTCATACTTCATAAAGAAACAACAGTGATCAGCATTGCACTTCTGGAAACCTTCCTTGTGCATGAAGCTTTCAAACTTCCTATACCACTGTCTTGGAGCTTGTTTCAGACCGTACAAGCTTTTCTTCAATTTGCACACCATATCCTTATTTCCTTCTGAAAAACCTTCAGGCTGGTGCATATAGATCTCCTCATCTAGGTCTCCGTGAAGAAATGCAGTCTTCACGTCTAATTGCTCTAGGTAGAGCTCTTCACTAGCCACAATACTTAACACCGTCCTGATAGTATTAAGCTTTACAACTGGAGCAAAGATTTCAGTATAGTCAACTCCTTCTTTCTGCTGGAATCCTTTGACAACCAGTCGGGCTTTGTATTTCCTGGAACCATCATGGTCTTCCTTCACCCGATACACCCATTTGTTGTGAAGTGCTTTCTTTCCCATGGGTAACTTGACTAGTTCCCATGTCTGATTTGAGATCAAGGACTTCATCTCATCTTTCATGGCAAGCTCCCACTTGCTAGCATCTGTGGTTTGACAAGCTTCCATATAACTTTCAGGCTCCCCTCCATCAGTCAGCAGCATGTAGTCCATGTATCTCCTGTTAGGCACATGGGGCCGAGAGGACCTTCTCAATACAGG